CACACAGGATTACACTTGAACTTTGAAATGGAACCCTCTACCCCCAAAATCTCTCCTGCTACAGTAGACAACCACACACCCCAGCCCTGCTTAATCTTTCTTCCTTCTCTCAGTTCCCTGGTTCAGTGAAAGGTTTTAACCTACCTTAGAAATATTGGCATGATCTGACCTCTCTTCCTCAGCCCTGACATCCTTCCAGACAATTACTGAGGCTTCGAAAATACCATCTCTGATTTAATTGGGGCCCCACATCTCAGCTGGTTTATTTCCTTAGCCTTCTAATTGGTCTGCCTTCAGTCACTCCCTGGCCAAGGTCATCTTGCACTCCACTGACAGAATTATCTAGCTGCACGTCTCATTATGCAGCTCCTCTGACTAAAAACCTTGGCTGGCTCCTCATTACCTTCAGCTTACTTTTCAAACTTAACATAGAATTCAAATTCCCCTCAGCCTCAGTCATCTCCCATTACATTTCCAGACATCTTAACTTTCGGCCACATGGGAAAAGTCACTGGTTTTCACACATACAGGGCACTTGCCTCCATACTCTTCCTCCTGCTGTTGCCACATCTTTTCCGCAATTCTGGTGTTTCTTCTAGATATATCTCAGATATTAACTTACTTTCTTCCACCATCCCTAGAAAGAATGGAGACTGCCTCTTTGTCTTCCCATAAGTCTTGTAATATTCCACCATTATGCACTTACATTCTTACTGGTATGTGTATAGCTTTCCCCTGTATTTGAATAGCGATTGTTTTAAGGACCAAACACATTCCCTTAGTCTTAATTTTATTCCTCAGCATAAAAAACGTGTAGAATGTAAGTTTCTTGAATTCAGCAGTCTTAATAGGTGTTTATTGGACATATAATAGGTGTTTATTGAACATTTGTTGAATGAGTGGGTACTCAATAAATATTTGGATTAGCCAAGGGCAGGAATATGTAGTTCAGATAAAAGTGCACTTACCCTTTTGTTGCTTGTGTGTTCATCACAGTCTAGCTGAGGGTAGCTGTAGTCTTGTACCGTGTGAAGTAGGAGCAGATCTTGCTAATACCTCACTTTCCAAAGCACTTACAGTACATCTGACTGGTGTGATCTTGTTTTATATCAGGGGCTTGGGTCATGTTCCTATGTCTACAGTTTTCAAGATCTAAACTGCACCTGTGGGGGGGGGGGGATACTACTTCATCATAACCATCCCTCTTTCTTGGTTTTTGTGAATTATAGCTAAATCAAAGGAAAGATTGGATGTAAAGGAAGTTGAATATGTGGTTAACTTTGCTTTTGAAATCACTTTAACTGTTTTCTTTCTTTGGGTGCATAGCTACACCTAGTGGCCTTATGGATTATTTCAAAGACTATTTCTAGAAACAATCCTTTGGTGTGTTTTTCTTCCTTTATTTAACCTCCACTTATTTAGTGTCTTTTCTTTCCTCTTAATTAACAAATATTTTAGACTCTTTATATTCAGTTATATTTGGAGAGTAAGCTGATGCAAGCATAGGAATGGATATTGAGGAATTGATGTTTATCCATAACAAGTAATTTAGAGCACTGTAAATACAAACCACAAGGCAACAAGTCGGAGAACCTGGGATTCTCTGACTAATGACATTGTTAAATAGGAGTCCTTTGTGGGCAATACCTTCTTCATTCGATGTGGATCGTAATCTCAGATTTTTTTTTCTAAATGTGCGTGTATATATCCTGCATGCACAGATATTCACACTTGTATTAGATGCCTTACTTACCAACCACTCAAGAATGAATTCTACATATATACATCTTCCGTGCCATTGAACCATTTTTACATTTTGAGATTTTACATGGAAATATGTCTAGTATGTATCACATGCATTTCTGCCTTTTAATAAGGGATATATTTTATAATTATTCTTATCCTGACAACTTAGAATCATAGTCATAAATATTAATTATTGCAGTGAACTCATGCCTTCAGGAGAAACTTCAGGGCCATTTGCTCTACTTTAATTTCTTTTAGATGGACCACAATGCCTTGTAAGCATTTGTGTCTGTTGTTTTTGGCTTTTCTCTCTTCTCCCTGTGTCTTCTTGCTGCTGGCACTGTGTTTTGTATTTTTTCCCCTCCTTCTTCCCTTTTCTTATCCTCGCTCCTCTGATTTTTGGCCCAGCTGATTTTTTTGCTTCTATTCTGCTATGGACTAGAGAGTCAGATAATCACATAGCTTAGTGGCAACCCAATTCTGCTGGCTCCTAATTTTGTTCTCTTTCCATTATACTATACTGAAGATATATGTTAAATCAACACTGCTTTAAGGTAACAGTAAATAGGTTTTTTTAGACTCTAAAATGCATAGCCTTAGTGATTCTTTAATGTTGTTTTAACTGTTGGGCAACCCTTGTGTGATTTTTGTTTAGATCATTGAGATTCTTCATATTCACATATACATAGAGAATTAAGTCAGTCAACAGATATTCATTGTGTGTCTGCTATATTTATGGTAAGCACAGCCCACATGCATAGACTTCTTTGATTGCATAGTACAGTTGCTATAACATGCAAGATTACGATACCTCAATAATTACTTACATTTGGCCTGGCCATTGTTGCTCAGTGGTTGAGCATCCACCTACGAACTAGGAGGTGAGATCAGATTCCTGGTCAGGGCACAGGCCTGGACTGTGGGCTCGATTCCTAGTGTGGGGCGGGCAGGAGGCAGCCAAGGGATGATTCTCCCTCGTCATTGATGTTTCTGTCTACCTTTCCCTCCCCCTTCCCCTCTGAAATCAATAAAAAAAAAATATTTTTTAAAAATAATACATTTGATTTCTCATTTAAGAAGGAAGTTTTATTTAAGAGCATCAGAATGATTTGCAGAGGGTATTTAACTTTAAATTTGGAGAGCAAATAAAACACTGTTGGGCCATTTGGCACACAACTTGTCAAATAGTGATGTTCCAGTGAGAGAGTCAGGCTTTGGCAGCCAGACCCACTGGTGGCAGATTAAAGCTTTGCATGTTTTCTATGGAGCTTATCTGAGAGAAGGTGGCCATACTCTTTCAAATCCAGAAGAGACAATTAACATTTCGAATGCTTGCACCTGCCCAAGGGTCTGTGACGTTTTTTGAGAATCACATCTTCAGTGTGTGACCAAGAGGTTCAGTGAGAAACTGTTTTCAGGGAAGTAGCCTAGGTGACTGCCAGCTCTTTCCATTGGATTTAACCATCTGATATAACCCTCACAACTATTAAAATTACATTGGAAAAGGCTTATTAGCACAGGAGAATTAATGTATTTTTTTAAAAAGAATATTCTATAACTACTAGAGGCTCCGTGCACAAAATTTGTGCATGGGTAGTGTCCCTAGGCCTGGCTGGTGATCAGAGCTCATCGGAGCCTTCCAGCTGCTGGCTAGGGTCTGCCTTCCAGTTGCTGGCTGGGGCCTTCCTTTGTTCCGTGCCACCCCGTGTTGGTCAGCACACGTCATAGCGAGCGACCAAATTCCAGGTCTCTCCTGGTTGAACTCCCAAGGGGACACTTTGCATATTAGCCTTTTATATAGATAGATAGTATAATATTCCATTTTTGTTGAAAATATTATCTACATACACAGCTGGAAGAATATGCATGGAATATTAACAGTGGTTATCTTGAGGAGATAACATTGTAGATAATTTATCTGCTGTGTTTTTTTGTTTTTTAGGTTTTCACAGTGGACTTGGATATTTTCTTGTTAGAAATGTTATTTAAAAGTATTTTTAACATCTTTCTATTTTTTTCTTTAAAGTGAAAGATAACTTTTTTCCTAACACTTCTTGTCATTCAGGAAAGAGGGAAGAGAATACACTAATTTGTGATTTAGAAGACTTATGGTTAACTTTAATTTAGTTTATTCAGCAAATACTTGTTGAGTATCTACGTTGTACCCAGACAGCGTCTTCCGCAGTAAACAAAGCCCCTGCGAGGAGATAGACAATAAACAAATATTTGTGTCTTGTGGTGATCAGTGCTCAGTGCCATGTAGGTAAAGAATAAGATCATTGAATGTAGGGGAGAGAGGTATTATTCACCACTCTGGTGCTAAGTTTCTTCAGCTGTAAAAAGGGTTAGATGAGAGGATGATGAAATCCTTCTCTCTCTAACATTGTGATTCCTATGACTTTTGAAATAAAGTTGTGTACCTAAGCGATTATGTCACCCAGATGCAGAAATGAGTCAGTTTTATGCATTGAGATAAAAGAAATGTGTTTCCTGAAATGAGTAGTTGATTAATAGCAAGAATTTTGAAAAATAAATCTGTGATGTTTCAGTAACTGTTGTTAATAATGAAAATCACAAATGAAGATAACGGAGCCTTAATAAAAAATGATAAGTAGTACAAAAAAAAAATAAGGCCTGGCCTGTGTGACTCAGTGGTTGAGTGTCAACTTATGAACCAGCTGATGAATGACACTCGATGTTTCCATCTCTCTTCCTCTCCTTTTCTCTGTGAAATCAATAAAAATATATTTTTAAAAAGAAAATATGTAGCATAAAATAAACTCCTAAGCAACTACTAACCTTTCTAAGGTTGGGGTTTGTGTATAAATGCATGAAAACCCTGGAAAACACGAATGTGATTTTAGTTTCGTTTGTATTTTCAAATCTCTTATATGTTCATGTAGTCTGGTGATGTGAAATATTGGGGAAACACAGAACATGAAAGATATAGATATTCTTTGGATTTGGTGGCAGAACTCCAAGAGATCAAATGGGCATCATTGTAGAAATGGTGAATATTAACTTTTTAAAATGCATTGTCTTGCTCATCTGCTATTTATGGCATTATTTACAGTTGAATGGCATCTTGTATAAAATTTGCAGAATATAAGTACTTTTTTGTCACAGTATTGCCTCAAATTGGGGCAATCAAAACCATTCTTTTCTCAAATAGGAACATTTTAGGTGGCATTTATCTTCTGTCATATTCCAGAAATGATTCCTGTGATGCTTCATACCATCTTTCCTTGTTTCAGATGTCCTCTGGCTCCTGCAGGCCTGATGTTTCAGAATCCCCTGAATTGCGTCAGAAGTCACCATTATTTCAGTTTGCTGAGGTAATACATTGAAATTTATACTTAATAAGGAAATTGTAAAATGAGCTTAAATCTGAGCTGATGACAATAACTTAAAGCAATGATGAACTCTGCTTAGCTCAGTTGACTATAAATGGAAAAACTTAATTTTTGAAAGATAGTTGAAACTCCAGAATCTCTCAATTAAAGAATAACTATATGTGCATAAAAATTATTATTAAGTCCTGATTATTATTACACTTAAGCCTTATCAATAATTTTTATTCATGGATAGTAAAATTAAGAATATAATTGAGCCCTGGCCAGTGTGGGTCAATTGGTTGGAGCATCATTCCCTGTACAGAATGGTCTCGGGTTCAATTCCCAATCCCAGCACATTCCCAGGTTGTGAGTTTGATCCCTGGTTGGGATGCATGCAGAAGGTAGCCAATTGGTGTTTCTCTCTATTTCTAGCTCTCTTCTGCTCCCGTTCCCTCTCTCTCTAAAATCAATTTTTAAAAATAGCATAATTGAATTATTATTAGTCACCTATCAGGTATTAAATGTGAAGACAGAAACAACTCCTGGTTGTTCATTGACTATGCATTCCTTTTTTTAAGTTCTATTTTAATTGAAATTTCTGAAGTCTTACTGTGTTTTGTCAAACCTGTTAGGCTCAATACATCTTTAACATTGGTTGAAAGAGATGAAGTACAAACGCACATTATCCTTGATATCAAATTTAAAGGTTAAGACTGCTTCCCAAAATATTTTCATTTACCCGAGAACTCAGTATGGAGTTTTGATTAATTAGTTTTTTTCTGAACTTTAAAGCACGTCATCTCCCTTTGATCACTGGAATTGTCTTTCACTCAACCTTTCTAACATTTGCCCGTTCCATAACCGTTTTATGCAAGGAGAGCATATTTAAGTTTCAGATTTTTTTCCCTCTCTAATGTCCTTTCCTGGTTGTTCTCAACATTTTCATTGGCAAACTGCTTTTTACAGTGGTATATTAGGCTATTCCTTTTAAGGCGTTGTTTATAATATGACTAAATGCCCTGTAGATAGCACAGGAATATTATAAATTTGCTGACATGATACTCATCTATCACTTTCCTTTCTGCCTTTTTGTGGATGCACCATGAATTCCAGTTGTTTTGTACATTGTTTCCTAATGTATTAATGTAACAGGGGATTCACCCTGTTCTCCAGTAGTTATATTCATGTGAAATAGTGTTAGCAGGGGTGGGCAAACTTTTTGACTCGAGGGCCACAATGGGTTCTTAAACTGGACCGGAGGGCCGGAACAAAAGCATGGATGGAGTGTTTGTGTGAACTAATATAAATTCAAAGTAAACATCGTTACATAAAAGGGTACGGTCTTTTTTTTCCCAATAGTTTTATTCATTTCAAACGGGCCGGATCCGGCCCGCGGGCCGTATTTTGCCCACAGCTGTCAGTTAGCCCCAACTTTGAAAGCAGAGATGCTTAACCATTGATCTCTAAACCCCTAGGGAATCTAATGAAATCTCTAAAATGTTATATGAAATTTGGTTTTGTGGACATATGTACATGTTTGTGGGTTCTACAGCACATGGAAGATTCCAAAGAGATTTCCTGTTCTTTTTGATATATAGAGTCCCTGATGTAATATTTCTTCAGGAGCCCCCTACTCATGTCATTAATGGAATATCTGTTTTATCCCAATATTAATGTGCAAAACGACCTTTTGTTGAGAGAGAAACCTGTGAAATGCTTTTCAAAAATCTAGATGGTTTATACTGGTTCTCTTTTGTCCAAGTCTGATTTAAGCCTTGAAGAAAGACATTTATCTTTACATAAACTATTTGTCTTCTCAAACTTTTATAGAGGGTTGGTAGGAATGAAAAGTGATGTCTGAAGTAAGACCTACCTGGTGTATAATTCCCAGGACTTCAGGAAAATCCTTGTGGATTCCTATTTGCAATCTGTCATGACTTGCACTGACAGGTTTCATGGTTAGACCAAGAGGAGGGCTACGATTTTATCCTCAATGTGTTCAGTGTCGTCAGAGCACTTGGTTAAAACTACCCATTTATGATAGTTTGTTTATATCTAGTTTGTTAAATAGGACTTGTTTTCACTTATATTTATTCTAAAAATGTCTAGATGTCTGAATTAGGACTTAGAGTAGAATTAAAATTTTCCTAACGGCTTCAGCAATGAATAAAGTCAATGATTCCATTACTTTCTCTGCCCTTTCTTATCCTTAAATAGAGCTTTGATACTGTGTCACCAAAACTGGTTTCATTATTTTTCTAGCCAACATAATTTAATTGAGATTAAAATTGATTTTTGTGGTTGAAGAGTTACGATTAAGGTACATTTTTTGCTTTGTAAGTACTCTTTGGTGGAGTTGATGAGCACAATTAATTGATGAAAAATATTTTTATTGGCCTGGGAATGGGCTGACTTTATATTGTCCAGGCTTTCTGTTTTTGTGACTCACTTTCACCCTATATTGTAGCTGGACAGAGTTTGTTCACTTTGGAACCAAAATTAATAATTGACCTTGCTCTCAAAAAATCCTTGGAAAGTTTTCCACAAGGCCCTCAGTGCAAACTAATGAGGCTACCATAATTAGGGCCAAGTGGAAACAAAAGGTCTCTTAGTTAAACTAAATGTGGTGTGGCAGAACCCTCTGTCCACTGTCAGGCAGCTGCAGTGTGTGTGTGTGTGTGTGTGTGTGTGGGTGTGTGTGTGTGTGTGTGTATTCCACGTTCAAAGGCTGTTAAATCGTGTTGTTTACCCATATCTTCAGAAAAAAATCACTTCTACTGTCGTCCAGAAGACTTCCAGACAAAGCCGGGGGCTTGGCCGGCCTGCAAACTGCCCTCAAAGGGTCCTCAGCCCCTCGCCCAAGCTGGCCATGCCCCCCAGCGGGGACCCTTACCCGATGGGGGTGTGGCCAGCCTGCATACAGCCATCAACCCCTCTCCCAGGCCACCACATCCCCCAATGGGGGGACCCTCACTCCATTGGGGGCATGGCCAGCCTGTAAATGGCCATCAGCACCATGCCCAAGCTGGCCCCACCCTCCAAGGGAACCCCCACCCTAATCCAGGACCCCCTTCAGGATAGACCAGCTGGCCCCTACCCATGCACCAGGCCTCTATCTATATTATTAAAAGGGTAATATGTTAATTAGACCAGGAGACCATCTGGACATCCTTCCGGACAAAGCCATGGTGGCAGGGCCAAGGCAGAGGCTGTTATGGGTGATCAGGTCAGGAGGGGAAGGCAGTTGGGGGCGAGCAGGCTGGCGGCGGGGGGGGGGGGCAGTTGGAGCAATCAGGCCGATGGGGGGGCAGTTGGGGTGAGAAGGCTGGTGCGGGGGGGCAGTTGGGGTCGGGCAGGCCAGCAGGCAGAGTGGTTAGGGGCAATCAGGCAGGCAGGCAGGTGAGCACTTAGGAGCCAGCAGTCCCAGATTGCAAGAGGGATGTACAACTGCCAGTTTAGGCCCGATTCCTATGGATCGGGCCTAAACCGGTAGTCGAGACGGGGATCAGGCCTAAACCGGCAGTCGGACATCCCCCAAGGGGTCCCAGATTGGAGAAGGTGTAGGCCGGGCTGAAGGACAACCCCCCGGCCCCCTTGCACGAATTTCATGCATCGGGCCACTAGTGGTATTATGAACAATTTGTTGAGTTCTATTGTTCTATTATCATGGCTTATTTTCTTGCCATATCCTATAAAATGGAGGCTGACATTATCGATTCACAGTTGGGGAAAATTGCAGAAAGATTAGCTGAACAGTGCAAGGTCATGTAGCTAGTGAGGAACAGATCTAAGATACCAGGTACCCTGCCCCACATCCATATGCTTTTCCAGTATTGTTTTACAACTGCGCCTAAGCAGAGAACAGCTTGGGGGGGTGGGGGGGGAAAGAAAGTGACTGTCTTTACTTGCAGCTTCCAACTTTTAATAATATTTTAAGAAATCCATTGAAATAAGGAAATCCATCTCACCAGGTATCAGCTGCTATTTGGCATACAGCTAATACCCTTACAAGAGACATGGCAAATGAGCCAAACTCAGTCTTTGTTCTTTAAATCACCTGTTTTTAGAAACATGGCCTTTGTCTTCCTTTATAATTTGCACTGTTCTTCTAAAAGGGATTGAGTGTGATGACTCATGTCTTAATCTTCATCAGTGTCTGCAGTGGGAATATATGGCAAAATCTATTACTCCGATATGGGAACATGTTTTTGTGCATTAAAAACTACTTGTTTCCTTTCAGATATCTTCAAGTACATCCCACCCCGATGCTCCTTCAAAACAGTGTCAAGCATCAGCCTTGTTTCAGTTTGCAGAGGTATGGACTTCTTCTTCTTCTTTTAAAATACTTATAGGGCTCAGAAAACTTACTGAACTCGGGGAAATACTGGAGTGAAGTTTTAATAATGTATAGCGAACTTTAGGTGTGCCTCTTCCCTTCCTGACATAATACTCATAACTGAATACTTACTGTTTTTTTGCTGTCTTTTTTGTAATCGTAGTCAGATCAGCTCCATATAGTATACCCATTTTGTAACCATTCATTAAAGAGTTCATTTAGAATAAGCACTTTCTAGTAATTCTTTATTTCATTTTTGCCTTGTTTTTAATTTATTTTTTTAAAAATTACATCTTCATTGTTCAGATTATTACAGTTGTTCCTCTTTTTCCCCCCATAGCTCCCCTCCACCCGGTTCCCACCCCATCCTTTGCCCTTACCCCCCTACCCACTGTCTTCATCCATAGGTGCACGATTTTTGTCCAGTCTCTTCCTGCATCCTCCACACCCCTTTCCCTCCCAAGAATAGTCAGTCCATTCCCTTTCTGTGTCCCTGATTCTATTATAATCACCAGTTCATTCTTTTCATCAGATTATTTATTCACTTGATTGTTAGAATCACTTGTTGATAGATGCATATTTGTTGTTCATAATTTGTATCTTTACCTTTTTGTTCTTCTTCCTCTTCTTAAAGGACACCTTTCAGCATTTCATATAATACTGGTTTGGTGGTGATGAACTCCTTTAGCTTTTTCTTATCTGTGAAGCTCTTTATCTGACCTTCAATTCTGAATGATAGCTTTGCTGGTAAAGTAAG